CATAATAACTAAGAAGTTCTATGGCCAGTAAGTTATTAAACCTACAAGGTGAACTGGAAATCATGTGTAAATTTTCTTCTTCATTCAAGAAAACCAGCCGTGTACTTGGCATACAGTATGTGATACTGTCAGAGTGCTTCAGACTTGCTAGTGAGCGACAGCTGTGTAAATGATGGAGTAGCATTAATCCTGACACTGAGAAAGAAGCAAAGTAACCGTCTCCCTCCTGTCAGTTGCTATTTGTGGGATTATTCGGTTCCATTTTATCAATTACCTCCATGAAAGTCCTAAAGTAGTTTATCCTAGCAGGTGATAGAGCTATGTAAATGGGACTTAGGTGCTTTTCTTCTCCACATGGCAGGATTGCTTTAAAAAACACTTTTATTCCAATTTTTTTATTAGTCTCTTAATATCATATTCTGGAAACGAGATTATTTTCTTGGGAGTGCATGCATGTGTGTGGAAGCTAGAAGTTTGATATCTGGTGTCTACGTGGTCACTCTCCACCTTAATTTTTGGAGACAGGGTCTCTCACTGAGCTGGGAGCTCACTGATTTGGGTAAATTGACTGGGCAGCAAGCTCTGGGAACATGCCTCTTTCCACCTCCCTAGCTCTGAGATTATAGGTGTATGCCATCACGCTCGACTTTTTACATGGATGCTGGGGATCCAAACTCAGTTTCCCAAATGATCTATCTCTCCGGCCCTAAGATTACTCTTTAGCAGACATAATTCTCACCCTGCCTAGATATCAGTTCTGTTAGTTGTCCAGACATAGGTTATTCCAGCCCCAATTCAGGGGTGCCATCCCAAGAGATGGCACTGGGAACAGAGTGTCGCAGGTGTAAGAGAACAATTTGTCAGACTTCGTTGACGTTCCTTTCTTGGAAGGATGCATTCAGATAATTAGTTGTTCAAATGAACACAGATTGAAAATGAGAAAACCTGAAACCATGCAGCCTATCAAATCTTTTATAGAAATTTTAGGTTAGGCAAAATAACTTCTCAGTGCTTTTTACTTTCATTTCTTGAAAGCAGTTAATTACCTCACATTGTGTACGTAACAGGAGAGGCTGAAGTTGATGTGCGCATTCTGCTATAGTGGAGGGGAAGGAGTGATAAGTATCAGCAGTCCATACTGCTCTAGGAATCAAAAAGAGAATTTGACTTTCCATTAAGTCAGTTGGGTATGCTTCATAAATCGGCCATTAAAATGGCTTTGCCTCCTTAACAAAGAATATGATGGAAATCATCCCGGGCACACTTGATATCAAGGCTCAGCATAGGAAGAAAGCACATGACCCACGTATTAGGGTATCTTCAAATCTATGATTGTGTTTGAAGGGTGCAAAATGTGTCATTTGGTGAAGTTAAAGGATGAGTTCTGATAATTAAGGATGGAATATTAGTCCTAAAATTACAGGAAGCACATGATAAGGCAGAACTTTTAGATTATAGGTTTGGAGGTTCTGTGGAACGAATGACCTCCATTGGCCTCTGTAACAACTGGTACAGCAGTGCGATCATTATAGACCACATGGTAGCCCTACACTATCAAGTGTAATTAACGAATAGAGTCACAAAGAGCAGAAAAAGAAAGAAATCAATATGCGCAGAGGTCTCATACCACATGCTGAGTGAGATACATAGATAGCTATCACTGATTCACTTAATTTAGATAATCACCCTGGCAGGGAGATGCACCTTCTTGCTTACATGCTGCATTTGTGCAAGATTCAAAGTGCCCAGTGACCACACGGTTAAACAGTTAGCTCTGATCCATGACTCATGCTGTTCCAACTTTGCTGGGGCAACTCCAATACATATTAGATACACAAACTTAAGAATATCTTATGAAAAAAAGATCATTGGGGAGGGGAGACTGGAGAGATGGCTCAGTGGTTAGAGCACTCGCTGCTCTTGTAGAGGACCTGGGTTCAGTTCCCAGCACCCACATGGTGGCTCACAACTATCTGTAACTCCCGTTCTGGGGGTCTCCCTGCACCCATATGACACACATACATACATGCAGGCATACACACATAAAATAAAATAAATAAATCTAAAAACAACCATGATATCTACTAAAGTAACACTAGTATATGTGGAAAAACTGTTTAAGTGAGCACGATATTACTTGTTGTGGTTGAAAAGATGAATCATTTTACTCAATTTTAAAGCTTTTTGATACTAATTAATTAAAAAACCATTGCTTTCTTTGTATTTTATTCAGTCTACTTTGAGAAATATCTCCTAAACTACCTTTTGTCTGTCTTGATCATCATCTCTTTAAATTTCATAGTTTCTTAAACCCCTGCAGAAATGTTCAGGTCATTGAGAAAGATTTAGTTGAAACTAATACAGATAGACAGACCAGAAAGTGTCAAATTTAGCTGTGATTGTACTAGCTAATGAGCCAGCCTGGGTCACTGAACATCATTTGTTTTTACTTTATTGTTGATTATTATTGTCTATGACATAATATAAAATGTGGGCAATATTAACTACTTATGAGTCTATTGAATAATTTTTCTAGCTGGAACAAAGTATCACTGAAAGTCCATGTGTTTTATATATAAAACTTAGTTATATATTTCTATAAACACTTTCATTTTTGATACAGGATGTTACTATGTAACCAAAACTGGACTTGAGCCACGATCCTCCATCACCATCTCAGGAATACTGGGATTATGGGCATATGCCACCATGCCAGGCACACATAAAGGTTTTATATCTAAAATATATGTGTGTCCCATTAATACTTTTGCTCCAGTTATAAGAGTTTTTTTCAATAAAATCATAATTAGCTAACAATACCCATGATGTATAGACAAGAATAATCTTAAAAATAAAGTTAAAATTGGTATTAAATCACACAGGCTGGTTACTTCCCTATCATTAAGGGCACATCACATGTTAAGTGCTATGTTGTAGGCCCCAAACATTATTGCAATTAATTCTTATGACACAGGTGTGAATGGGCACTCTCAGTTTCCTATTAAAAAGAAGATGTAAGTTTGATAAAATTAAGAAACTCACCCAGAGTTGTACAGTTTAAGACACACCCTGTGCATGTCTATGACCAAAGCTCACAACTTTACTTTTCTGTATGGTTCACAATTATTTCTTATATTGAAGATTTATTCTATTTTTAAATTTTGTGCATGTGTGTGTCTGTCTGTGCACATGCGTGCAGATGCCAGCTGAGGTCAGAGGTATAGGATTCCCCCGGAGCTGGAGTTACAGGTGCTTATGAGTTGCAAGACATGGGTGCTAGGAACTGAATTGCAGTTCTCTGTAAGAGCAATATGTGCTCTTCACTGCTGGGGCATCTCTCTAGCCCCTTAATATATTATTTGAGACAAAACTATTGGCTTTTGGAGCTGGAGAGATGGCTCAGCAGTTAAGAACGCTGGTTGTTCTTGCAGAAGACCCGTGTTCGAATCTCAGCACCCACATGGCAGCTAACAAATGTACATAACTCCAGCCCCAGGGGATGCAACAGCCTCTTCTGACCTCTGAGGCATTGCACAACATGGGTGCACTTACCTACATGCAGGCAATATACACAGACACATAAAATATAAACAATAAAATTTTTTTAACAGTATTGGCATCTCTCAAAATGTCCTGTAATTGTGGTGGGTCACCTGTCCTCTTGATCAAGGAGGCCGAGGAGACCCCACCAGATGAACTTGAACCAGTGCCCAGTCTACAAAGAGGAGGGCCAACACAGAGGAATTACTTCCTCCATGCTTCCAAGCAAAGCCAACCATGGTCGAGCAGGACCTTTGACTGATCTTCATATAGGTGGAACTGGTAAAAGAAAGGAGCCAGGGGCTCCTCCCAAGCCCATGTGACCCCTGAGGAACAGATCCTCTATCGGCCTAAAGAGTAACAATAAATTGGTTTATCTGGGCCAACTGTATGGCCTTAAACACCCAAAAGGAAAGTTCTATATGTATAGCTAAAGGCTACATAACAATCAACAATGCCAGATAGGAGATACCTTCCTTTGAGTTGTTGGCCAGTGTGGCCCAAGGGACTCCCAGACAGTAACTCAGCACAGAACTGGGAAAATAAAGAGCAGACCCCAATCTTATCTAAAGGAATATTGACAACTGATTGCTCCTGGATGAGGAACAGCTGACCTTCGTAAAACAAAGACCTCTAGATAGGCTGACTAGATTCACCAGATGGACAAGTAGTGGGGAACAGCTAGGGGTGCCAACAACACATTAGACAGTAGCAGGAATATCAGAGTATAAGGGCTCTAGTAAGTGGAGGGAGGCTATGGGAGGGTGCCATCTGGGAAGTTGTATAGTTGAATAAGATGGTTTGGGATGTTCTGTATGATACACACACACACACATACACACACACACACACACACTCAAAATCAACAAATTAAAAATGTATTATATTTAAAGAGGAAGCATGGAAATTTACATCATGTTAATTAGTAGAGGTGATAAACATTGCCATTGAAATCTACCTGATGACTTTATAGACATACACAGGTGCCAGGGATCCGAGTGCAACCAATTATGATTAGTAATAATCAGATACAG